GACATCTAGTAAACTCGAAATAAATTCGTTTTTGCTGTTCTCGTGGGATTTTAAGCTCCTTCGCTTGGATTCGTACCGCCGCCGTTGGCTGCACTTAGGACGTTAACATCGAAATCCGCATTGTCATCATTGGGAAAATCGGACACCTCTGCGTCCTGTTTTTTTTTTTAAAACAATATATTTTTTAAAAACACTATTTCCTAAACACCCACCTTTTCGGTGTTACTTTCGCCCGTTGGCGATCCCATTTGAAACAACGACACGTAGGCGCTGAAATAATTGAAAAAACGCAGCGAAAACAAAAAAAACGAAATAAACGGACTTTTACTTTTTTTTAATACTAATGTTGTTATGCAGATTTTGGCGAAAAAAAAAAACTGTTTTTGTACAATCTGAATTGAGTTTTAATTTTTTAAAGTCTTTTACGGGTTTTATTTTGCCAAATCTGCATAGCATCATTAATAAATTGGAAGAAATGTATGCACTTTGACAGGAAATGTCGAAGAAAAAAAGAAAAAAGTGAGACGCAACCCGATCGTGATGACAACAGAGGAACAGAGGAAAAAACAGAGTTATCTTCATGGGTGGTCTCCATGTTTCGCGCTCTATCGCAATCGCACGCGCACGCGTCGTTACCTTTTTATTTCGCAAATTATTTTTTAACATATTTTCCCGCTAAATTTTAATTTTGATGTTTTCCTTGCAGAAATATTTTAAAATGGTTTTTTTCCATTGTTATTTTTTAATATTTTGTCCATTCTTGCTTTATTACAGAGAATTTTTCAGAAAACAACCCAACAATGTCATAAGCAGAGTCATTCGGATATTCGGTGTTCTCAATAGGCACTAGTTCTTTCTCTCCGGTTAGTTTTCCATGAACTGTTTCAGTGAAACCTCTCAAGTTTCTATTATATCAGTAAGGAGTTAAATGATATTGTAAATAATCTGGATGTGTTTTAATTTTTTTAATGACCTTTTATGTCACTATGGATTTGAATTCTTAAGTAACTTTCAGGCCATAAAACGTCTGAAATTGTAATATATATTTAACATAGTCGACCAAATAAATTAAATTAACTTTTTTCCAGATTACTTGATGTTCCACCAACGTGTTCCATGGACTTCTATCGTAGGTTTTTAATCAACTTTTATATATTTTTTGAAATAAAATAGTTTCATTTCATGTTTGTTTCATTGTTGAACATATCAGTTCGTCCACTTATTTGGGTCTCTTTGTTCACTGTACCAGATATTTAGTACTGATAGTTCTCGTTTCTTGTTTTAAACTGAAATTCGGAATCAAATGATAATTTTATCAAAAATAAACAAATATCAATAAAAGTGTAATGTTGTAACTGCAGCTCTGCTTGGTGGTCGTCTTCGAAAATACAATCGAAAATAAATTCACACAAATCTGTCATTCCAATCCTGTTTTGTAATAATCTGAAACAATATTCCCTTTTTTGTAGTGGTTTCGGAGTCAAGTACGCTCCCAGTGAACGAATCGTGTTCAAATTTGGAACTTTATAATTATGTAGTGTTAATATGTGCACAGATGATGCATGCACAACAAAAATGTGTTTCGTCGATCTGATCATTTTAAACGGACCTTTTTTGGTAAAATCCTAATTTTGGGCGTGTACCGTGTCCGAAGCCGTTGTCTTGTCATGATCGTGAGGATGGGTCACAGTTGACACTCAGCGTCTTGTCACTTGTCAAACGCCGAGCCTCATATGTGAATCAAAACGGGTCACACTTCATGCTCAGCGTATTGTCAAACGCCGAGCCTCAAATGTGAGCCAAAGATGGGTCACAATTAACGCTCAGCGTACGTTCAGTCACAGTTGGTACATGTTTGACATTCGGCGTTTTACCTGTGGGTACAGATGATGTGTTGGCGAGAAGAGCTCGACGTTCGATACAAGTGCTTCCAACACAGTGCTTATGGGCAGAATTGAGAGAAACGTGTAGAGTAGTTGATGGCCTGCATAAATGTCCGCAGCAGTGTTTCGACTAGGGTCGGCCGCGTGTCGATAGCGTTGGTTTAATTACCCAAGTTTGAGGTACGCCTTGAATTTCCGACCCATTTCAACCAAGTGGTGTCGATATGAAATTTTGGAACCGTCTCCCCTAGTGGGAGACAATAAAAGCTGATTTCAAATAAATGTCATTGCGTTTATGGTTTTTGAGATTTTCAAGAAATTGTGTTCATTAAATTAACTGAAAATGAAAAAAATCCAAAAATGGACCATCTCAAATTATTGAAATGCCCATAAATGTCACCACAGAATCTTCAAGTTATCAACGAAATTTTGCAAAAGCTTACAACATCCGGGATTCCCAAGCCGTCTCCGATCCAAGTACTAACCGGACTCAACGTTGCTTAACTTGCCAGATCGGACGGGATGGCGTGTATTCAACGTGATATGGTCGTAAGCGATCACTGATTAAGCGCGACGCAAGCATAATGGAAGCATTGTGGGAAATCTGTGGAACGGAAGCATAATGCTTCCATATAGGAAGCATAATGTAATTCTTAGTGTCTGTGGAAGAAATATGGGACGAATATGGATGGAATGAAAATGAGATATATATGCTTCCGGTGTTTGCGAGCCGTGGAACGAATATGGATGAAATATGGATAAAATAATCATATATCATTACACATTATATAATTTGCGTCTGGACGGCAGACCAAGACAATTTCCACAAAAATCAATACAAAAAACTTATGCTATCATATAAACAATGAAAATTCGAAAATTATATGATACACAACATACGAAATTTAGCTTCTACCATTTAATGACTTATGTTACTCAGATTTATGTTAATTCAGTCAACTGTTCCTCACTTTGTTTAGAGATTGCCAACTACAATTAAGTCGTATTAATATATTTTGCCGGTTTTTCCGAAATTGGCATCGCAAACTACTCACAATTTGCTCCAAACTGGTAGCAGACGCGTGTAGAAGAGGTGTGCCGCAGCATTGCAAAACCGTGCGCCGCTTTGCACAATGCGGCCACGCCTCACAATTTTCGAAATTCGTTTTTCGAAGTCCGTGGGAGACCAAGAGAAAGACGCTTCCCCGATATATATATGTTTGAAATGATAAAAAATGATTGGTTTTCATTTTAATGTTAATATGCCAACGCGATTGTGTGTTTAAATTACGTCATTTGGGTTAAGCCGAGTCGAGAAATTCTTTCAGTTGCGGAAGAAACTCAACATTTGCGCATGTCACCGTTTTTATTTTGTTTTGTGTATCATTATGATTTTAGCTATGACTAACCACATTTAAAGCACATTGGTTTATTTTGTTTCCTTAAGATTTATCTTTGCTTCGCATTATTTTTCAAGGCGTTAATTATGTTCAGATAATGCCAAAAAGTATTCATCGCCACTTCAATAGTGTTGCACAAAAGTCAAGTTAGTAATTATAATAGTCCCAACTAATTGGATTTAACTTATAGATGGTGAACACGTTGATGACAAAAGAAGTCAAAATAATAATGTTAACGAAATAAGCGTGCGCGCTGAGGAGACGATGAACCTTTATGATGCCGATATCCATATGGATACAGATAGCGAGGAAGAACAAGAATTGTTTTCTAGTTGGGAAAGTAAATTAATCGAGGATAATTTATTCTACAGGAATAGTCAGAGATCTTCGTTCGGCTCCAGATAAAGTTATTCTATTTCTATGTGCAGTATGCATGTCAAGATTATCGGAGAGTGGTTAAGTTATTTATACCAATTTCATAATAGTTTTTTTAAAGAATTCAATCGATTCATATCAGTAATGGACGAAGACATGGCTGAATATGTTGAAAAATTGTGGAGCACGGAGAAAAACAAACATTTGATTCACTATTATTGCAATGGTTGCGGTGCTAAACGGCTAAATAATGAGAAATGGTTTGTTATTTTGAAAGCGTGTTTTTGTATTTTTGTGGAAAGAAGAATGTTAGAAATCTGCGCGGACTACTATTTAATTGGTCCCGCAAAAAATTCAAAAAATTAAGTAATGCCATCTCCAAATTCGCACACCGTCAACTATAGCAGCACTATCCGAAACTCCAAATTACCACAATTGTATGTTTCTAGTTGCGGTTCAATTGTGAAGTTCGTGCGTTTGGGAATTCAGTCACAATTGCATCAGTTGATCAACGAATATTTCGAAAAAATCATCGCTATTCGTTCCAGTATTCGACAGGGAAAAGAGAGAGACCACAACTTGGCAAGCAAGTTCTTTAGAAAATTTTGGGAATCAGAAGAGGAAGGGAAAGAGCTGAAGCTATCTGGCGTATTGTCGCTAGTTGGTGTCTGCGTTCCAGGAAGCAGAAAGTGATATAATGGTAAAATTACACATTTTCAAATAAAACGATTTGAGGAAACTGTGGCCCATTTCTTGCATCCTTGTTGATTTGCCAACCGGGGAAATGCAGAAATCGACTAATGTTCTCCTCGAAGGAGTTGCAGAGAGTGATATGGACCCCAGCACGATTTTCTGGAACGCTATATTACCAGCTCTCAAGTCGGACTGCATCGGATCACTTGGAACAGTGAGAGGAGTGAATATTTCTATTAAATTTGTAACAGTAGTAGCAGACCAACCTGTAAACATAAGTTCCTTGAGTCTACTTCTATCCATGCATTTATAGGCAAAAAGAGCCCTTTTCGGTTTTAAGTCACATCACTCGAGCCAGTCTTGTTTCTATTGCATGGCTACCGGAACATACTACAAGCAGGCTGGACCACGTAGGTTAATAATCGTAATCGAAACTTAATAGTTATTTAAACAGTTCGAAGTGTTACTCGTGGAGATATGCTTACTGTTTTAGACAGTTTACAACACGAAAATGGATTTGGAAACACTGCCGCAGGCATCATAGAGATCATCATGCCATATGAAACGCCTATAGATATCCTTCATGATTTGGGAGAAGGTTTATGTGAAATCATTACAAAAGGTATTCTATTAATTTTTTATTATTAGA